AACTCGATGCTGTTTGAGTGGTGGGCGAGTCTTGACTCTGGTTTGGACAAGTATACCAACGAGCAGGAAATCCGGCGCATGCTGTAAACCGACCACTGCATTGCGTGGGCGCATGTGTGCGAGGGGCAGAGAGGGGAAGGGACAAATGGAGATACAGAGCGGATGGACCTACAACCTTTGCGAGTCACTTACATGGCAGAAAGAGGGAGGATAGATGCTGACAGACGCCACATGCTTGTGGCCCCGGTCGGCCCTTGGCGGATAAGCCGCAGACCCGGACTTGGTTGGAAGATAATTACCTAATGTAAAGCAGGCACGCAAGTTTTCTACATACAAAGTACATACATTTAGCGGCGTTGCATTTGGAGCCGGAACGGAGAGTGTCTCGTCAATCCCAACATGGTCATTTTCGGGACTGCATCACAGCATCCTGGTGATGGCATCAATAACCAACAACTTAGTAGTTAGTATTGTTACTCACGCACAGCAACAGCACCGGCTTGCATGCACATGCACCGTCTGACGCAGCACTTGGGCGCCAAGACTTGCCGTGCTCATTGTGCCCACACGGACCATTGAAACCATGGAAGCTTTGAAACTCGTCGGCGCCCAGCACAGCTGTAGCGTGACCATCAATGCATGCAAGACGGACAAAGGGGTATGTCGAGGTGACGCCTCTCGGTGAGCCACGTAGCCAAGCGTACACGGATGACGAGTGAAAGGTGAAAGCTGGCATGATGTGCTGCAGCGCCCGTGACGCAACGGATGCGATGCGCGAAGCCACGGGCACGGGCACGGGCACGGAAGATCAGCCTGGCAGTGCTCAAGCTGGCAAAAGGAGGCCGAGGCACCCGCTCTCGGCGGCGAAAAGAACGTCAACTGGTGGCAGTGAGGCAGGGAGATCCACTAAAAAGCCCCGTAGCTGGGCCGCCTCAGCGGTGTCCACGGTGCTGAACGGTCTGGTGCTAGCGGCCTCTGGCAGCGCCCGCGGTAGCTAGTGCCCGTTTGACAGCTCCGCGCCGTGTCTGGTGGCTGAGCGACGACAGACTGCAAGCAAGCAATGAATGACTCACTTCTCCGTACATTAGTCGTTGAAAAAAGCGTCTTGGAAGCAAAGGGTGGAGCGCGCAATGGGTGAGGCATTGACGGTGTGCCGGCTGGCTCATCCGGCAGCCGGTGTCCGAGTTGACCGACACCACCAAGACCACCAAGTCGACACAGCCGCATCCTCACTTGTCTACGGCTTCCACTCCACCCCCTCCTTTGCATGATCTTGTGATCAATTGATCGCTCCGAGACCAACGTCCCGGTATTCCTGGCCAACGAGATGACGGTGCTTACGGTTCCGGTGCTTGGCTAGTGATTCGAGGCGCAGAAATGCCGGACTCGGTAGGTGATCGAGACCGATGTGAGCCTCGTCCTCGTCTCCCCTCATGTCTGAGACTTCCAAGCCAGACATGGAAGGCGCGGCAGGCTTGGTCTCAGTCCTTAAGTTAAGCTTGTTTCTTCCTCTCCATACTTTAGTTCCGACTCTCCCCAAGCACACCTGTTAGCTTTCCTCAACCATCCATATCCATCTTTCAACCTCGTCCTTTCTGGCAGCTATTATCAAACCAGCTTCGCGCTTCTATTGTGTGCGCATCCGCCACCAGTGTCGTCGGATTCATACTCCACGCACGTAGAACCTCAATACAACCGCTTTCAAGCTTCCTACGAAGACCCAAATCTCGCCCCCCTTTTCTTCTTCCTCCTCTAATCTAAATCGTTTTGACGCTCCTCCAGCCCTCGTGTCATTTGTTGGGCATGACTCGTCGCGAACGATACTCTGTTGGCATAATAACTAGTGACTGGGCTACAGTCTGCAAAATGTACTGAAAAAGAAGAGAAAAGAAAACCCGTGATTTTCAGCTGAAAAAGCAGAGACAGGATCCAAAAAGACGAGCAGCCAGTTCCTCACCATGCTTCTTCAACCCTTCAGCTCTGATTTTGCCCCGTGGTGACTGGGTGCCAACCTTTTTGTGATTGTAACTGATGCCTTTTCCTTTCTCGCTTTGGCCCCCGAAAGCGAGATCGAACCCAGAAAAGAAAAAATGATTTCCTCCTCTCTGTTGCCTGTGTCTTCTGTTTGCAGTCTAACAAGCTAGGTAGAAGTAAACATAAACGTCCACCAACATGGCGCAGGTCAATCACGCCCAAACCCGCCTTCAACCTAATCCCCGGCTGTCCTTGATTCCGTCAACGTGGGAGACAGAGGTTCGCGAACTCACCTTGCGTGAGCGCCGAGAGGCCGGCCTTGCTCTTGCCCACAGCTTCGCTGCCGATCCGCTGTCACTGTATCTCATGGGTGTCGATGACGCGACTTGCTGGCCGTCCGAGAAGCTTTGGAGGCTGCATGTCCGGCTTATGCAGTGCTCGTATGTTTCGTACCGGCTCAGGGGCGTTGCAACAGCCATCGGCGGAGACTACGACGCCATTGCATTGTGGTGCGTGTGAACACTATCCCCACGGGCCTTGTTCTTTTGCAGGACCATGTTACTGCCGTCTGAGGACCACGCTGACTTTTTCTTTTGTGTAGGATGCCCCCAGGGACAACCAACGACGACTGGCTCGCCACGCTCTGCAGCGGAACCTGGCGTCTGTGGTACCAGCTCTCTCGTGAGAGCCGGATACGTCTCTTCGATGAGCTGTACCCTGCGCTGCATGACACCAAGGCTGAGGTATTGGGCGACCGCAACGGCGACAGCTACTACTTGGGCTACCTGGGCACCAAGGCGAGCTCGAGAGGCAAGGGATATGCCACCAAGTTGCTCAGACACATGATGGAAAAGGTAAAAGGGAGATGAGATGAAGATTAAACAAAATCCCCCACGTGCGGTCCAAAAATGGACAGTAGAGCTGACATGACCTCTTTTACTGTAGGCTGACGCTGAAAACCGCCCCATGTACCTCGAGTCGTCAAATGAGTCCAACAACCGATTCTACGCCAAATTTGGATTCGAAATGAAAAAGGAAATCGTCCTGACTCGCGGTCCGGTGCCTATCCGCCTGTTCTGCATGCTGCGGGAGCCTCAAAACGACAAGGCTAGTAGCTCGGTCGATATGGGGAGCGAAAAGGACTGATTGAAGTTTGATCGGATGTGGCTATTTCGTGCTATTTGATTTCTTGAGACTGTCTTTACCGTTTTGCTATGCGAATTCGTTCTTCACTCCTTTAAACGGATGGCGTAGTATTTGGCAATCTCAGACTGTTTTTCATACTTGAAAAGAGGAGATTGGAAAGACCTCTGTCCCCCGTGAGCTTATGGTATTTGCATAATAAGGAGAAATTGATTTTGCAATTCCGAAATCGTAACATGACTACCTGTGCCTTTATCCCGAAAAACACCTGTATTTACCCAGTGCGGTGCCCGAACCATGCGGTCGCCAACGTCTCGTCCACGCTTGCCTAGCACTCCAAAATGGCCCAAGTCTCATCATCAACAGTCGTGTAAATCAAGCCGTGACCCAGCAACTCGTCCGACGCTGCCAGCACATCCCTCACCGACAGGCCCGTCGAGCTACTGATGACATTCAGATGAACGCCCTCGTTCATACCGGGAGCCCCATTCATAAAGTTAAACATCTTCTTCGCCGCCGCCGAACAGCCAGACACTTTGCTCAGCATCTGCCCAGAACCACCACCGCCATTCGCGTTGCCCCCGTACCCGCCGCCGCCAACAAACATGCTCTCCCCGCCGCCGTTCGCCGCGCCGTCCTGCCCCAGCGGGCCCCTCGTCAAGTACAAGTGCACATACGTCGCCTCCAACAAGTGGTAATTGACCTCGTTGAAGTCCGTCACGGGCCGGATGACATGGGCGCCCACGTGGCGCTTGTTCGAAAACGACTTGAGGCGGCCCCATACGCGCACGTAGGAGTCGAGCTCGTACTGGTCTGCGTTGGCGTCGTCTGCCTTGTCGGCGTCGATCCACTTCTTGACTTCGATCTGGCCCGTGCCGTCGTCGATTTTCAGCGTCACGTTGGTGGGCTGCGGGTTGATGTTGCGGACTTGTCCTACAAAGGTGATTTGGGTTATGGTTGTGTTGTCGATTTTGAAGTCGGCGCCGGTGAAGGCCTCGTCTGCTTCGAGGATCTGCTTGATGGTGACGGAGCGGAGGGATTCATCTTGGTATGACTGGAGAGCAACATGGGTTATTAGAGAGCCGTTAGGGGGAGAGGGAGGAAAGGATTATTATTATTTTTTTTTACTTTGCTGCCGCCTTGACTGCCTGGTTGCGAACCGCCGGCGAAGAAGCCGCCCGAGTCATCGCCGCCTTGGGCGCCGTAGCTCGTTTTAGAGTAGCCTGCGTATGCTGCTGTGCATCTTGTTAGAAGACATGGACATGGTCAATTTAGGAAATGAGTGATTTGTAGTGTTTGGACATACACATGGCTGATTTGGATTGGGATGCTTTGCGTATGAAGAATTCACGGTTCATCCTTGACGGCGGGAGACGCGTTTTGGGCGCGTCTTTGGTTAATTGGATTTGCCCCGCGGTGGTGGGGCGTCTTGTGACGAGACGGGGATGAGTAAGCAGGTTGTTCGCTGCTGCGAGGATGACTCGTCATTTTGCCTCGGCAACTGGTTGGCGCGGAGCTCCCAGGACTCCGTCGTCCGTCTCGAGCTCGGATCCAAGCCGGAGACAAAGCGGGTGATGACTTGGCTTTCCCCAGCTTTTCGGACGACTCCGTTTCTCGACCATCATTTCATCCATCGCATTGTCTGTCTCATTCATCCGCAATCTGTGCATCATTTGCATCTGTCGTATTAAATACTGTATCTTGACCCCTTTCCTGCGAAAATAATCAGGCTTCTACGCCGCCCCGTCATCGTCAAACACCACGCCAAGGGGACGTCCATTCCAGCCCGGCTTCCCGACGACCCCCGTAACTTTTCTCTGGTCAGCTTTTGTTTGTTTGTACACACATACAGCCAACGTCCTCGTGCCCAGTCTTTCTGCGCCATGGGCAGATCACAGACTGCATCTCTCCCCATTATCCCGCTCGCTAGAGGCACCGTCCTGCTTCCTGGCTTGATTCAGCGAATCTCTGTCACTTCGAGCCGTCCCGATATCCCTGCGCTCCTCGCCCACGTCTACGAGCAAGCTGCCGCCAAAGGCCCCGAGGGACGAATCGACAGTATATCAATCGCTTGCGTTCCGCTCTCCTCACCCTTCGTAGGCCCCACTGGCCAGCTTCTCATCAACAATGGAGAGGAGATAGATACCTCGCAGCTTGCCGAGGTGAATCCCGGCAGTGCCAACAAGGCCGATGTCTTTGGATTTGGTGTTGCCGCCAAGATTGTCGGCATTGATGGCCGCGGTGCCGGCGAGTTTGCGCTCCGTGTTGAAGGCACTTGTCGTGTCAGAGTAGATAGCATCTCCCGCGAGCGACCCTTTTTCCAGGGCAAGGTTACATACTTTAGCGATGAAAGTACGTCTTTGATATTTCTGCCAAGTGACCCACCAGTGCGCTCTAACCATGCGTCTTCTTCTCTAGTTGATATGGCCGACAAACAACTCCAGGATCTTTTTGGCTTGCTCAAAGCTCAGTCCCGCGAACTCGTTACCATTTTAAGAATCTCGTCGCTGTTACCACGCACCAAGAATGGGCCGGCATTGTCACCTGGGCTTACGAAACGGCTCGAAATGCTCATCATGCGACGCGAGATGAAGGAAGCAGGACTGCTGGCTGACTTCATGTCAAACCTCGTCGAGGCGTCCCACGAGGAGAAGCTGGGCGTACTAGCCGCGCTGGATGTCAAGGTCAGAATCACAAAGGTCATTGAGCTGCTGGAGCGGCAAGTAGGGGGTATCAAGAACAACTTCAAGATTACCACATTCACTGCAGTCCCTGTCCAGATTCTCGACAGGCTAAATGACAATCCTAACAAGAGGAATGGCCCCGGTCTGCCAATTCCAGGCGTCAACTTCCTTTCGGGCGCCGGTCAGATGCCATCTGGTAACGATCAAGGAGACGAGCAAGAGGCAAATGAGCTGGATGAGCTGAAAAAGAAGCTGCAAAATGCCCAGCTCCCAGCCGAGGTGGCCAAGACTGTCGACAGAGAGCTGCGACGGCTACAGAAGATGATGCCCATGAATCAGGAATATCAAGTCACACGCAACTGGCTTGAAACTCTGTCGGAGATCCCCTGGGCAGCAGTCACAGATGATCGCCTGGGCCCCAAGACGCTGATCAGAGCACGAAAACAGCTTGATGATGACCATTACGGCTTGGACAAGGTCAAGAAGAGGTTGATAGAATATCTCGCCGTCCTTCGTCTGAAGCAGTCTTTGAACGACGACGTCGACGAGCAGATCCGTAAGGCCGAGGCAGAGATTGCCCCTGCGCACGATTCTAGCAACCCGCCAGCTGAGGGCGCGAACCCAGAGAACAGTGCAAAACTCCAGATCCTGAAATCAAAGAGGATGGTGGACAAGTCACCGATTATGCTTCTTGTCGGCCCGCCTGGAGTTGGTAAGACTAGTCTGGCCAAGTCAGTCGCCACGGCACTCGGAAGGAAGTTTCATCGCATCTCTCTCGGCGGCGTTAGAGACGAAGCCGAGATTCGTGGACATCGTCGAACATATGTTGCTGCTATGCCCGGCTTGATTGTTCAAGGTCTACGAAAGGTTGGCGTTGCCAATCCAGTCTTCCTCTTGGATGAAATTGATAAGATCGGCATGGCCAGCGTCCACGGAGACCCCTCTGCCGCCATGCTCGAAGTCTTGGATCCAGAACAGAACCATACTTTCCAGGACCACTACATAGGCATGCCGATCGACTTGTCCAAGATCCTCTTCATTGCCACGGCAAACAACTTGGACACCATTCCGGCGCCGCTCCTGGACCGCATGGAAATGATTTATCTCCCGGGCTACACCACCCTGGAGAAGCGTCATATTGCCATGCAACACCTCGTTCCCAAGCAGATCCGAGCCAATGGATTAGTCGAGGACCAAGTCATCTTCAACAAGGATGTTGTCTCCAAGATTATCGAGTCGTACACTCGTGAATCAGGGGTTCGCAACCTGGAACGAGAGATTGGGTCTGTATGCCGTGCGAAAGCCGTGGAGTATGCTGAAGCCAGAGATGGCGGGAGTATTGAAAAGTACAGGCCACTTCTTACAATCGAGGACATTGAAAACATTCTCGGCATCGAAAAGTTTGAAGAGGAAATTGCCGAAAAGATCAGCCGCCCCGGTATCGTTACAGGTCTTGTGGCCTACAGCACTGGCGGCAATGGAAGTATCCTGTTCATTGAGGTCGCCGATATGCCGGGCAATGGCAGGGTACAGCTGACGGGCAAGCTGGGCGATGTCCTCAAGGAGAGCGTGGAAGTCGCCTTGACCTGGGTCAAGGCTCATGCCTACGAGTTGGGCCTCACTCCTGAGCCTACGACGGACATCATGAAGGACCGCAGCATTCATGTACACTGTCCTTCTGGTGCGATCCCCAAGGACGGACCAAGCAGTGGCATCGGACAGGCTATTGCCCTCATCTCCTTGTTTTCTGGCAAATCTGTGCCTCCAACAATGGCCATGACGGTACGTAACTAGCCCTTCTCTTCGCTATTGTCGAACTTTTTTTTTTTTTTCTGTGTCTAGAAATAGTCACTTGCATAGACGAGAGTGGCCCCATTGTGAGTCAATTCATACTAACACAGCATGATGCTGTTTAGGGTGAAATTTCCCTTCGCGGACGTGTCACGGCCGTTGGCGGCATCAAGGAGAAACTCATTGGGGCTCTCCGAGCCGGCGTCAAAACAGTCTTGCTTCCGGCACAGAACCGGAAGGACGTCAAGGACTTGCCTCAGGAAGTCAAGGACGGTCTGCAAATTGTGCACGTTAGGTACGAGTTTCCCGCCTGCTCCTTGCTTTTTTTTTTGTTTTTCCTTGCCCTTTGCCCACGGAAAGCGGTGCATGATTCTTGATATTGCATACCGTGCTCGTCTGTTTTATTGGGGTTTCGAACTTGTCCGACATGTTCCCGTTTTGGTGTAATTGCAATGCACTTTTGGGATAAGGCGAAGAGGTCCAAGACCAAGCCCAAGCCACCAAGTAAGCTGAACTAACGTTTCAATTAAATAGTCATATTTGGGAAGCGATCCGCTTGGTATGGCCAGACTCTCACTGGGCCGCAGATGGTCACTACGCCAGCATTGAGAGCCGGCTGTGAGGGTGTATGTCGAACCATTGTATATCAGCACGTAGATTACCATCACTATTCAATGAAACAGCAATGCCATGTCGCTAGGATTATTGATGGCGTCCGTTCCGCCTTTGAGTTGTAGCCTTGTCGTTTGATGCAGCGTTGTTCAGTCGTTAGTTGAGCTGACCAAGGACCTCTAGTTTGACTTTAGACCAGAAATCTACCTAGGCCCAGTAATGGCGATAGCCGGAGGAGGACTGGAGATGATGATGATGGATGAGTTGCGACTTTTTCTTTTCTTTGTTTCTCTCTCTCTCTCTCTCTTTTTTTTTAATAATTTTTTATTTTACTTTTTTTTCTTGAATTTCCCGACATGGCGGCTTGTCGGGGTCCCACAACTACACACTCCAGAGTCGACGATGCCGTCCGACCACGGGCACCAGTAGCGTGGAAGTCGCCTTGACCTGGGTCAAGGCTCATGCCTACGAGTTGGGCCTCACTCCTGAGCCTACGACGGACATCATGAAGGACCGCAGCATTCATGTACACTGTCCTTCTGGTGCGATCCCCAAGGACGGACCAAGCAGTGGCATCGGACAGGCTATTGCCCTCATCTTCTTGTTTTCTGGCAAATCTGTGCCTCCAACAATGGCCATGACGGTACGTAACTAGCCCTTCTCTTCGCTATTGTCGAACTTTTTTTTTTTTTCTGTGTCTAGAAATAGTCACTTGCATAGACGAGAGTGGCCCCATTGTGAGTCAATTCATACTAACACAGCATGATGCTGTTTAGGGTGAAATTTCCCTTCGCGGACGTGTCACGGCCGTTGGCGGCATCAAGGAGAAACTCATTGGGGCTCTCCGAGCCGGCGTCAAAACAGTCTTGCTTCCGGCACAGAACCGGAAGGACGTCAAGGACTTGCCTCAGGAAGTCAAGGACGGTCTGCAAATTGTGCACGTTAGGTACGAGTTTCCCGCCTGCTCCTTGCTTTTTTTTTTGTTTTTCCTTGCCCTTTGCCCACGGAAAGCGGTGCATGATTCTTGATATTGCATACCGTGCTCGTCTGTTTTATTGGGGTTTCGAACTTGTCCGACATGTTCCCGTTTTGGTGTAATTGCAATGCACTTTTGGGATAAGGCGAAGAGGTCCAAGACCAAGCCCAAGCCACCAAGTAAGCTGAACTAACGTTTCAATTAAATAGTCATATTTGGGAAGCGATCCGCTTGGTATGGCCAGACTCTCACTGGGCCGCAGATGGTCACTACGCCAGCATTGAGAGCCGGCTGTGAGGGTGTATGTCGAACCATTGTATATCAGCACGTAGATTACCATCACTATTCAATGAAACAGCAATGCCATGTCGCTAGGATTATTGATGGCGTCCGTTCCGCCTTTGAGTTGTAGCCTTGTCGTTTGATGCAGCGTTGTTCAGTCGTTAGTTGAGCTGACCAAGGACCTCTAGTTTGACTTTAGACCAGAAATCTACCTAGGCCCAGTAATGGCGATAGCCGGAGGAGGACTGGAGATGATGATGATGGATGAGTTGCGACTTTTTCTTTTCTTTGTTTCTCTCTCTCTCTCTCTCTTTTTTTTTAATAATTTTTTATTTTACTTTTTTTTCTTGAATTTCCCGACATGGCGGCTTGTCGGGGTCCCACAACTACACACTCCAGAGTCGACGATGCCGTCCGACCACGGGCTCCAGTAAAAACCACTGGGATAGGGGCACTTGGTCGACCCCATTAGATAAACATGCCTCAATGTGCGGAATATACACATCACTTGGCAAAGGGGGTCCGAAGGTGGAGGATACGCCTCATTCCGGCCGGTCGTGTGGTTTTGGAAGCGGTCTCGTCACATTTGGGTCTCCTGTTGGGTGACGATAAGAGAGAGGAAGTTGTCCGGTGTGGTATACTCGGCAATCAGCAGCCAGAACCAAGCTGGCACGTACCCCCCCCAGGTTATCTCGTTTCCTGGCTCCTCCCACCTTTGCAATTTGTGTTATTTATGCACGTCGTACGATGGCGTTGTAGAAGGAGACCAACCTGGCGAGATGACAGGACAGAACACGCATTGTAATTACTGCGCGCCACCTTGAAAATACGGCCACGTTTTTTGTTTCGTTTAGAGTTTGCCGTTTTGAGCCGATGTCCGAAATGAACCATGCTTGCCCCCCCTCTGGAAGCTCTTGGGACAAGAGGGCCTGGTCATTTTCGAGCCAGGGCATGGCGGCAAGTACGGAGCTTCTGGCGACATTTCATCCATGTTTATTTGCGGCAAGCCATGTGCCTCAGCACCGTTGCGCGCCAGGTCAAGGCTTGTTTTGAACCAGTGTCTACACCGAGGCGTGTGTGCTTCAATCTCACGAGCCGGATTGGATGGTCCTTGCTCCGTAGTGCGGAGAGCATTATCCTCCGACAGAGCACTCCGCATTCGGGTGTCATATATAGTATGTAGCTTATGGCCGATAACATTGTGATGAGTTCGGCATAGGGTTGGGCGACGTATGCTTGTTCGGGCAGTTTAAACCATGTTAGCTCGGCCGCCATTACTCCGAGCCATGAGTGAGTTACTCCGTGGCGATTCGTGCCATTCACCTTGTTTCAAAGGGTGGCGAGAGGTAATTTACCATGCTCCGTACAACTCCGTACATGGCCATTGTAAGATATTGGACAAAGCATCATGTCGAGTGCTCGATAGGCGGCGGGATTTCTTTGATGGTGGTGCTTCTCCATCTCATGTGCGACCCGACTTGCATGCGTCCATGTCGTGTCACGTCGGGCCACTGCATGGTTTGGGTCTGAATCTTATCCAACAGCTGCTAAGGGTGCCCTCTCAGCCTCTGCAATGCAAGGGAGTGGGAGGGAGGAAGCGGCGGCAGCTCGTACGAGTCCAAGTGCATCGAAGCACTCACTGGGTGGGTGTAACGTACGCTCGAGTCGCGCTGTATATGGCGTGCATGCGTGCCTGTTATCGTCGTTTGGTTTCCTATTGTCCTCTCCCACGCCCTATCTATCATGTCTGCCTCCTTTTTGTCTTCTTTTCTTTTCCTTTTCATTCTAAATCTTCCTTTTTTTGGATTCGGTTTACCAACCACCGATCGAGTCTCAACTTTCGCCGTTAGAACACGCATTGGTTGGATGTATGTAGCTACACCAGTTCACCAGTTGCGCTCGCTGGCTGGCCGACTTGTACTGGCGGTCTGCTCAGCTTGCCAAGGAACAGAGTGTTTCGCTATCCTTGCCTGATGGGGGTGGGCATGTTTGGGATTGATTGTCTGTTCCATTTGCCATTTGCTATTTCCAGCATTCCGATGTCCGTCAAACCGACCCCAGCTAACTAGCAGTTGGCTTTGAAGAACTATTCGCTCAGAATGTGTCATGTTCGGAGGTATCTTTGGATCGATGGGCTAAATAGACATGCCGGCTAGTATTTACTGATCAACCCTTCATTGTGGAGGGCAGAAGAGAACGATACAAACATTCCAAGACTTTGACCATGTATGTACAAGTTGTATAATACAGTATTATACAACAAGCAGCATCCTCAAACGACACGCGCCATCGACACATACATAGCATGTGGACAGCTGTTAATGAGGGGGAGAGACTCCCTCAGGAAACATGTCCGGGAATACGGTGTGCAATGACCGTGTACCCTGTCAACCTTGGCTAAAAACCGGGCACGAGAAAGTTTAATCCGTTACTTCGCGCCGACCGCTACTATTTATTGCCAATCGCATTACGCGCAGAATTGGTGATTGATTGGCCCGGTTTGGAAAGGTGGCATCGGCTATGTCGGTACCAAGGAAGCATTTGAATGAACTGGAGAAGGAAAAGAAAGAAGGGATAATAATATTACCAGCCACACATCAGTGGGCAGCGGGTTGGAGAAATGCAGCCAGCTCCCTTGAAAGAAGGAGGACGATTAAACACAGTTTTCAACTGACCTGTCATTTCCTGCAGTCGGATATTAAAGCCACCTCGTGATCAAGAATCTGAAATTGTTATTTACCCTCGGTATTGGGACGAAGATCGGACAAGGAATACGGGTCCGAGGCCAGAGCCTGGGACAAAATGGTTCCACTGTGTTAGCAAGAGCAGAACCCTGGGCGGAGATGGTGTTCACGCACTCCACACGGGACGCTCCCGCAGCTGTTAAGGAGTAATAAAACGAATGGACAAAGCCTCAAGAGAGCTTAGCCAGACTGATGCAGCCTGAGCTGTGCCTAAACGCAAGGATGTTCTCTCCAACGGCTAGGTGGCCCCAGACGAATAACTGCTACTTGTTTTTCTCCAGCTTGAAGCTAAAGGGCAGCTGACTTTGTCCCCAAAGTGCCCATGGTGTGCTATCAGCCGAAACTAGCAAGCGCTTTCGATGGATAGGGTTGAATAACAAGGCCCCCCCGGGATTGTCGGCATGAATACCCAAGAAGAGGGACCTGTGTCCACGCCACAGATTCCCGACCATTACAACGATATAAATCACCGCTGTGTAACCAAGTGCTGTACTGTTCCGAGCATCGTTGGTGGAACTCCAAGTGCCTGGCCAGGTCTTAGAGGTTGTAGCACAAAATACTGCCAACTCCAGCACAAGCCAGGGTGAAGGTGAACGAGTTGGGATTGTGTGTAGCCAAGAAATCTCCGTCAAGGCCAGTGTGAGTGGGACAAGAGCATTGTGATATCGACCAGATGTGCGTCCTTAGCGCGCATTATGTTGAAGATGTGGTGCCGTATCCCTGGTCCTCCCGAGTTTGAAAGATATTGACAGACTGGGATACATGTCTTCTTGTCAAGGCGACTCAGTCTTCGAGAATACGTCAGAAAACCTGGTACTCCGTAGAGAGGTAGAGGTGCAATTTGCCGCCCCAGAGAGATATCATTCATCTTCTTGGTACAAGGGAGTGAGTGAGCTGCACTGGGAAGCGGGCCACATTCATGTGATTTGAATGTGGACTAGGATAGCAGCTTCATGCTTGAGAAATGGTGTGGCCAGGTCTTTGGACCTTGGACAAGTAGCATCAGAGATCAGAAATTCCATGGACGAGGAAAAGTTGGATACCAGTGAATAACGTATCGTAGTCCGTCTGACTCGCACTCTTTGCAGGAATCCACGAGTTCGTACTCCCCGGGGTTGTCTGGTTGTCGTTTGTTTGCTCCAACCTTTCCCAAGGTCGAGGTGCTGTGACCTCAGTCCTCACTGGATGTGATGTGAGACTTCCTTGTCCTTCAGGTTGCGATAGCCCAGGCACAGCCTACCACAGCTCTGTGAGATCCAAACGAACAGCCAGGGTAATATAGGTCCGAGGGCCGTGTTAGCGAGCCCGCGAAACAAGTCCGGCCTCGGGGTGCGTAACGACGGATTGTGTTGCGAGCGACCCAAACGGATGGAATGCTCAAGACACTGGTAGCCGTGCTAGTTGCTAATACTATTCATGCCTGACAAGCAGGATACTCAGTAGCTTGTCATAGTGGGAGTGCTTCGCTCAAGATGCTTGGTCCAAGAATGCCGCATGGATGAGGTGGCCCCACACTAATCAGGCTGGGTCAATTTCCCAAATCATCATCATGCAACAGGCTCAGCGCTTGATGGGTCTGATGGCTGCATCGTCCCGATAGGAAAGGCAATTGCTCCAAGGGCATCAATAGTTCTTGTACACCGCGGAATCCTTGTCGTATAGTTTGAGCAAGACCTGCGCCGCCTTACAAAAGTACGGAATTAGGCCGAGAGTGTTTTTCTCGTACCAAGAGTAACATCCATCAGATCACAATGAGCGGGTGTATCGTCATATCGGAGAGTATCCATGGAGCCAAATTATTATGACATATAATATTGCAATCTTCCCCGTACCTGGCTCTAGTTCAACATGGCCATTCATTTCGCATAAGTCGGTCGGAGCTTTTTGGGCGGTGGCAAGGGCGTGTTCCGACTGGAATACGAAAGTATGGGTCTCATCGAAGGAGTTCGTCTCCAGTCTCGCTTGTCAACCCGCTGGTTTCATGTTGTGTAACGCGGCGCGTGCCTTTAACATGGCCGATATTTCGGCAAGCAGGCCCTCGGGTATCTCTGATTGTGTGCCGAAACAATGACGCGTGTTGACCATTTACCTGCAGTTATCTTTGTAGCACATCATCAACCAAGGAAGAAAGAGTGGAGTATGACTTTCTTGCTGATCATGGCGAGATCCCACCTACCATGAAACGACATTTTCATTTCCCGCACGAAGCATGAGAAGCTTAGCCGTCCCGAAAGTCCTTGTTGTTGGGCGCTTTCATGAATGCCACCATAA